ATATCGAAGTCAGTCCCTCTCTCTATATATATTTGTATTCATCAAGATTCAATTTTCAAGAAAAGTTACGAGAAAAAAAAGTTATAAGGAAATACATGAGAAATGATTTTTGTATAATTTTTTTGTCTCACCTTTTTGTTTCACTTTTTTATTTTATTTTATTTATATAACTTGACATATCATTTAAATGATTGATTCTTTTAATTAATGTGAGAGTCGTGATATTGAATGTATCAAATCATTTAATAACACATAAAAATTATATAAAAAATGATATAAAAAAATTATTCCTGTAACACTATCGGATATACATATTCGTAGTTATTCTTAGCTTTTATAGCCTACCAAATTTTTACCATAAAATTTTTTTTAAAAAGGGTCTACCAAATTTAATTGAATAAAATAAAACTGCACTTGATCTGATGCACGCAAGCTATTTCAGAACTCTTTAATCCGTGCCTTCATTTTGTATCTCCAACAATCAAATCCAAGCTAATTGCCCAGAACAAAAAATTATATATAAGTACCTAGATCGATTGTCCCAGCAGTAATCTCTCTTATCTCTCAAAAAATTTTTAGATTCGAATCCAAGAAGGACTCTATTAACTACAAAAATCACCCTTATTGTTGGGCCTTAAAAAGGATGGCATGCACAAGTAAAGTTCTCTAGTTAAGACTTTACCCAGGTATTACCTTCTAATTCCTGTTAGGTCACGCAATGAAAAACTCAGAGATATGCCATTTCTTCCTTCTTCCCTGTTATATATTCCGAGTCTAAAATTGACTTCTCCTTCCTTTCGATTGACTTCTCTTTACTTTCTGTTGTTTTATGTAGAATATATCTCTGTAAAACCAATATTCTTCAAATTTATAAAGAAAAAAAAAAAGAAAAAAGAAAAACAAGAAGCTGCAAAGATCATTGCCAGCAACCAAAACTGAAAATGGAACAAAACTTCAAATTAAAAATAACAAACATATTTACAAAATCATTCATCTCTCCCTAGCTTTTCCACACAATAAAGAGAAAATTCAAATATAATAGAACTGTTCGTAAGCGATATCCGGATCCGTGGATGAAGAGAATGCTAAGAAAATGAGAAGAGACATTATTAGAACTGGAACACAGAGAAGTATTAACGGCGGTGGAGGTAACTCTGGTATCACCAAAGGCAGCAATAAAATTACCAGAGTCAACACAACCATGAAAACCACCGACCGCTCACTAAAAAAGTAAGACATTAAAGCCTTAATTTCAGGTTTAGTTCAGGGATTCCCGGCGTTCAAAATTCAAACCCTAAAGTGAACTCGATCAGGCTGCTAGTTGCTCTGCATCCACCTCTTACCTGGTTGTCCTCCATTGAAGTTGAACTGAGACTGCTTTCCGGCAGGCATCATATATGATGGGGTGAGGAGGGTGACGTGGGGGGATAAAGGGGTTTAAATAGGAGAATTGAGATGGGAGGCGGTGGGAGGTTGCAGGACCATATATGGGAATCAGGGCGTAAATTTGTGTCTTGGAAGCGACCAAAAAGGTGCGGCACTTAGTCGCTAAGGGTCACCATCAGTTTACATATTAGCGCAAAGAAAATCTAAGGTCCCATCGTGCACATCCTTTAGTGTCTTGGTTCAGCTAATTAAAGCAAATTAATATTTCAGCGGAATTGCGAGCCTAGTTTTTCTGCACAAATTTAGATGGTATTGGCCGCTACTTACCTAATACTCCCTCTGTTTCAATTTTGTTCTTCGATTTATTGGTGTGTAGACTTATTCAACTTCTAATTTCGGGGATTTAAATTAGATGTTACTTTTTTATTTTAAGATATTATTATTTAATATGTTTATTTTTATTTTATTATTATTTTTAAAAAATAATTACAACATATATTAAATAAAAAGATTTATTTATTTTGTAAACATTAATAATTAATTAAAAATAAATATAAAATTTTATCAATTAATTATTACATTGTTTTTTTTTTATTAAAAAAACTGAACATACTAAAATTGGGTAGAAGAAGTATGAAAAATTAAATATTATTATTTCAATTTTATCTTTATTACACTTGTAGTCTTTTTATAAAGGTAATAAGAGAACATAAAGTTTTTATTACAGATAAATGTGTTATTTTAAGACCTAATTATGTTAATCAACCAATTCTAACATTGTTTAGGTGTGTCTGAAGGTAAAAAGTGAGACAACAACTCCAAGGGATGGATGCCTTTCAAAAAAAACTGAAAGGTTGGATCACTAGTAAGCAAATAATGTCATGTAAGAAATCAAGTTTTAGGGCCACAAGCCAAGAAAATTAATTTTCATAATGCATTAAATTGATGTAGGGGATGTGTGTTTAAAATTGGTCCAAAAGGGATTTGTCTCAAAGTGCATAAAAGCTAATTTAGGAATAGTTTGACTATAAATTAAAAAAAAAAAAGAAAAAGAAAAGTGAAACAACTAAATGAAAGGGTGATAGTAGTAATTTAATGCTAGTAATATTTATCATTTTTTTATGAATTTTTCTAGGGCACAACTTTTATTACATCCTTTTGTAATTAATTTATTTACTTTAAAAAACAAAAACACTAACATTTATTTAGCATTATTATCATGTTCATGATTAATTGACTAATTGATTAAAGCAAAGTCAACTTTTATATTTTCATAATAGATTAATTGTAAAAATGTGTATTTATTACACTAGATTAAAAAAACTCTTTTTCTATTGGACATATAGGTAGGTGTTTCTATATTTAGTTTGTGCATATTTCAAAACTAATTTTTTTTTAGATGAGTTGAACCGTTAGTTTCTATATATAAGAGTATCTTTTTTTTTATTATACATTTAATAATTAATGAGCCATACAAGAAAAAAAGTAACTCTAATTTTTTTTTTTCCAATTTATCCCCATTTAGCTCAATGCTCGGTCTCAAATTCTTAATTAACCAACTAACCCAACACTGTTGGGGCTTGTTTCTTCTTTTTCTTTTATTTTTTTTTTTAGGACCATGATGTGTGCACACCCGGGTGTTGGATCCGGATGTGCACACATCATTTTCCTTTTTTTTATTAGTTAATAACAGTATGTCAATGAACAAAGGAAAAATGGCATAGGCAGTACTCCAACTTCTTTTTGGTTCTTTTCTTTCAAAACCTAACAATTGAATTCCCAACTTTTAAAATATGATAATTTCAAAACACTAGTTGACAAATATATATATCACAACTAGAATTTGAAAAGAAATAATTTTTTAAGAGTTAGAGATTTTAAATTTTAGGTTTTTAATTCAAATGTTGAAATAAGTAAAAAAAAAAAGTGTGAAAAGTGAAAGAGTAATTTTTTAGTGTATAATCTCTACTATTAGATATACAAAAAATGCCTCTTATTATATATAACAGTAAAGATTTGTTGGTAATTTTATTTTCAGACTTTAGTCTTACAATCTTATGTAAAAGTAATTGTGATTGACTTTTCTAATTAACTCAAGAAGATATATCAATTAGAATATATTTATTTATTTAATATCGTATACCTACAACTAGCTTCTAAATAGTTGAAATCAATTAGGTACCTCCTTCACTCAATTTTAGCTCTCCCTTTACTCTTTACTGACAAAAACATATATATAATAAAATAAGAAGGACAATTTATGACGGATAATAATCACTACATATTTTAATTTAATATATTGTATAATAGATTTATTAAAAAAATTGTTATTTTTTAATTAAAAATTAAAAACAGATAAATTTAAAAATATAATCATACATATATAGTTAGGATACAAGTACCACCTAAATCTATTGTATATATATCATATTTTAATAATTAAATTAGAATAACTGTAAAAATATATATATTGAACAGAGCATATACTAATTATTTTTCACAATATATTGAATTTTTTTTAATCGAATGAGCTCCCTTAACAAGAGATATCGAACTACATACAAAAAATTGAGTGGATATATCGGGGGGTTACTTGAGTAAAAGTTTTATATATAAAACCTTTGTAAGAAGGAAGCTTATACTTGTGTTTCCAAGTTCATATATAAATTTCATTAAATTCAAATTTTAATTTATAAAAACTTTTTTTTGGAAATATTTAAATATGCATGAAGTTTCAACCTTTAAGGTTTTACTTATCAATATTATATTGTGCTGTATTATATTGTAACAGCAAATTTTGTAATTTTTACTATCTCAAAATTTTATAACATTAATTAAAATTAGTAAAAATGTATAAAAAAATTAATTCAAATTAATTAAGAATTATAAATTTACATTTTAAGATAAACTACCATGTGAAAAAGATTTCTACGAAGCAATGACAAACAAATCCTAACTCTCCTAACGTTTTTTTTTTTTTCTTTTTTGGCCGGCTCTCCTAAGGTTGAAAATAGGGATTCTAGATAGATATGAGAAATTTTAAGAAAATCAAGTTTAGAAAAGCTTTTTTATGAGCTAAAAAAGCTATATTATATATTATTGGGAGTATAAACTGTACTTCAACGCATGTTAAAACCAACCTACATAACATCTTTAGATAAGGTTGCTATAACTCGTTTTAGACAATTAAAACAGCTAATAAAAAGAAATTACAGTTTAATTTGCAATTCTCTTCTGCGCACATAGGTCTGGGAAATTGTCACCAGTTTAGCATTCTAGTTGTTTAGTGTAAATTTGGCATTCTAAAGTTTCTGATCTAAATCGGGGAACCAAAATAATTAAAGATAGGATAATTTTTTTTTTTAAATGATTATATATCATTTACTACTCTATCTTTTTTTTTTTTAATTAGTATTATATTTCTTTGGCTATCATACATATAGCTCTTATTGGTTATATCTATGCATTATTCCTTTTTCTAATTTTGGGTTAGATACGGCGCCAGATGTGTATTAATTCCTAGCTTGCAGTCACTTTCTTGTCTCCTTCTCTTGAGCTTATATGCTCACACTACATTGGTCCATTCATTTTGGTCAAGTTCATTGATCTTATCATCAATTGGAGTCATCATTAATTAATTGAGTAGAATTACTTTAAATATTAGGGAATAAATTTCTCATTCTTGGCCCTAGTGTGAAAGTCTTGCTTCAATATCACGCTAATACTGAATCATATCACGCTAATACTAAATCTTAGATAATAGGGGGAGGTTGAAATATTTATGATAAATTAATCATTTATTTTAATTTTTTTTATAAATAAAAAGAAAAATTATATTCCCTCTACTTCTTATATGTTCTATTCCCTCTCAAGGAAAAAAAGGGGGTAACTATTACTGCATTGAAACTCTTGAAATTAACCTCGATTCCGGCGAGCGTTGGTTTCTTGTGTGCAAGAGAGGAGGATTGTTGGACAGCTGCTACCTAGGACAAGGTTTTATGACCAAAATCCATCCCATACAATGCACCTGTCTCTCTCTACTTCCCAACCAACAACCAATTGGTAATATTTTATTTCTTTCAATTAACCCTCTTGAGATTTATTTAAAAATAAAATCCAAGGGAATGATTCTGCCCAAAACCCGTCATTT